TCTGATGTTAATTTTGGTGTCAATCTGTGCTCATGTTGATTGCTGGTGAGGTGTTTTGATCATTTTATTTCCTTCAGAGGTGGTATTCAGCAAGTTCTGACCAATTCTAGAGAACCTGTAGCGGAAATTTTGAGTAGTTTGGAGAACCAGTAAATACCACCTCTGACTGGCCCCGCCCCAATCTATTCTCTTCCTGCCGAGTCGCAGCTGATTGGGAGGGAATGGGGTTTTTGCAGTAACCTTCACCTGGAGTGGGAAGGGAATGGATTGCCACTGCCATGCCCACCAAGCTATGCCCCGCCCACAGAACCAGTAGTAAAAAAAATTGAATCCCACCACTGGTTTCCTTGTTTTATTTATGGAGCTGTACTGTATATCTCCAATATAAATCTCTGCGTGGGAACAATATCTGGAGAAAGTTATCACAATTGCCATTTAAAATATATGTACATGGAAACTTTCAATTGCATAAATTATTAAAATAGATTATGGAAAATAAATACATAAAGTCTAAGGATAGGTGATAGTTGATGTAATAAAGCCATATGGACATTCATTTGGATGTTTGGATATGAACTATTGAAATATATCACTACATAACTATAACATTAGAATATTTAATTCAGTAAGTGCTACTGATGTTGTTTTTTGTTTTTTTTTAGGGAGAATACATTACACATTTTGAAACAATGGCAGTTAAACACATTCACTGGGAGTTTACGTCCATTAGTGACTGAAGTAGTAAGTATAACATACCAATTCCTGGCCTTAAACTTCTAAATTAAATATGAACAAACATTCTTACATAAAAATCAATTTGTTAAAGTACCATTACAATAGACAATATTTTATTTTCAGTTTTAATACACATTCAAATAGATTACATTAGGAATAATTAAATGTATTAGTAGTATTCAGATATAATAAGGGAATGAAAATTAGAGTGTAGGCTGGAATGGAAGGTGGACAGAAAGTTAATTTAAAAGAATAAGACAAGTTAGAAAAAAATGGTTAATTGGAGCAACTAATAATAAAGAAACAATAGGATCTGAAGGTATATATATGAAATCAGTTACCTTTAAATGATTTTTTTGTGAATTTTATGCACTATTAACAAATATCTTTAGTGGTATTTAAATATTAATTGAATAATTAGTCACAATTTGTTTTTGAGGAGAGTCCTTAGAAATATGCCAGGCTTTTTTCTGAATACCTTAAAAGTTTAAAAGAAAGAGGCTAAGCATTATCTCTAAAGGAAAAAACATTTTTAGGATAGAGACTATTTAAAACAAAGTAGTGATACAACTGAATTTTTCATACATGTATTGGTAATTTTAGAGAATAGAGAAGCAGGCACTGTAATAGATAAGTAAATTGAGGAAAAGGTTTTTAAATACCTTGTGTGATTTCTTAAAGAGTAGAATTGTACAGTAATCCAGAGGATAGTACTGTATAGAATTGCCTACTGTTACTTTACCTTAAAATCTGTATATAGAAGACTGTTTGATTTCTTTATTTAGGACCCAGATGCTCCAGTAAGGCAGAAAATGCCACTTGATGATTTAGATCGTGAAGATGATGCACGATTGCTCAAGTTCCTTTTTACTCTCATTCGAGCAGGAATGACAGATGAGGTAAGCCAGTGGAAGCTAGTTGGGTTAAATGGTTAAAGACCAGGCTGGAAATCAGGAGACTGTAAGTTCTAGTCCTCCCTTAGGCATGAAAGATGGCTGGATAGCTTTGCTCTAATCACTTTTTCTCAGCCCAATCCATGTCATAGGGGTGTTATTGTGGGGGAAATGGGAGGAGCGGGTATTAGGTATGTTCGCTTTCAGTGGTTTATAAAAATAAAGGTGGAATAAAAAATTTAAAAACTCGTACAGAAATATAAAATTGGCTCAAATTCAAGGTTATGCAATTAGCTATAGAATCATAGTTACCCTGCTGAGCCAGCATTGTTTCTTCTGTGGAATTGTGAATTTGTGTCATAAAGAGTATCCGTGAAGTAATAAAAGTATTCTGTTGCTTATCAATATTATTAACTAATTTGTAAGCCACCCAGAGTCACCTTGTAAGGAAATGGATGGCATAGAAATTTAATTAATAAATATATAAAAAATAATAACATTAAATTCCTTAAGCAGCTAGGAAACGTTTAATTGGCAAAATCATATAATATTTTGGTCATTAATTACATAAGCTTGGAATAAACTGTCGCATTTTAAACTATGCTTGATGCATTGAACGGAACTTTGAATAATAAGACTTGTATCTTTGATTGAATAGATGTTAACCGTTAAAATTTTAGAGTAAATGTTCAGACCAAAGTTTTTAAAAGATGAAGCTGTACTGTTCTATTTTGGTACAGATCAACCAGATTTTTAGCAAAAATTATCTCTCTCTCTCAGATTCTTTTATTTATTTATTTTATTTATTGGAATTTGTCAAACAAAAATAAGAACAAGAATAAATGAATAAAAATACAATGACAGGGACGATAGGCATATTAGTGCACTTATGTATGCCCCCTCTACTGACCACTTAAATATGAAGTAAGGTCCACGGAAGTCAATTTGTGACTGAAATTGTAAAAATTTGTAGCTGAGACAATGGAATCAGGTAGAGCATTCCAGATTTTGACAACTCTATTACAGAAATCATATTTTTTTACAGTTAAGTTTAGAACAATTTACATTGAGTTTAAAGTGGTTGTTCGTACACGTATTATTGTGATTAAAGCAGAAAGTGTCATTTACAGGTAAAACATTACCATGTTTCCCCGAAAATACAACCTGTCCTGAAACTAAAGCCTTGCCACATTTTTCACGTGGGCAAAAATATAAGCCCACCCCTGAAAATAAACCCCCTGGACAACCCCAGCCTCTGACCAGGCAGAGCACCGCTCACTGACATAGCGGTATCCTGAAGGCACCAAGCTGCAGGAGCCAGAGGGGAAAAAGGCGCTCGCATTGCTTGCCACCTTTGGGATACTGCTAGGTTGGGGAGTGGCATTCTGCCTGGCCGGAGGGGGGAGTTGCCCAGCTCTCCCTGCAGCAGCCGCTGCAGTGCTCCGAGCATAACGTCTTCTCTGGTTCCAAACTCCCAAATTCGGCTGCCAAGTCTTCCAGTAGCGGTGCACTAGGAATGCGCTCTGGTTGTGGGCTGGCTGCTGGAAGACTCTGTAAGAGAGTCTTCCGGACAGAGAGTCTTCCAGCAGCCAGCCCACAACCCTAGAGCGCACTCCTAGAGGGTCATCTGCTAGATCAATTGTCACCTAGCTTATACGACATTCTGATTACGTTTACCAATATGTAAAACAGCATTTATTAATCAAAATTTGAAGTTGCCAAATAGATGACATTCAGATACATAGTCGAAATCACTTTGCAAAACAACAGAATTATCTGTAGAATTGAATAATTTTACGTCATCGGCAGGCCCAAAGACTCTGCAAAAGGTGTGGCCAGGCCTGGAGAGCTGCAACACTTGAAGGATGGAAACTGTACCATGATCCTAACATGAGTGGAGGTATTGAAATGAACAATGACATAAGCATATATAGAACAAAGAATGACAAGGTTCACTGTTTTGTTTCTTTATTTTAACATGTTTGTCCTTAGCTGTTTTCTATAACTGTGTACTTTGAAAGGAAAAAGTATTTATTTCAGTTCATCCAAGGTTACATATTCATAAAATATAGTTAACAAATATAAAGTTAAGTCCCTAATTATAATAGAAATAAGAGTCAATCTAGCCTTATCTCCAAATTTGATATAAAGGGTCCAGATTTCTTCTTTGCAATGTTTCTTAAAGATTTATCACAATTTCCAGGAACTGCCTGCTTCAAATTTAATATCTCAGTAACAGGATCCATAATTAGCTGTATACCTTCTAGTTCCCTCCTTTCCTTTTACATTTAATTTAAAGTACACTAACCCAATTTGGTGAAACCTCAGTTTGTTACTGCACCTAAAATGAAAGTCTGTGATTTTAAAGAATAAACATTAAGAGGTGGGCTTTTACTGTGGTTTAAAATACTCATTCTCATTTAACCAAGAATGTGGATGTAACCATAGACCATGATTTAATCATACTACAAGATTACCTATTAAACTAGTAGTAGAGAGATTTCAGTGCAAAAACTGAGATGATTTGACTAGAGAACTATTAAAGCTGTATTGTCCCAGAGTTTTCTTATATGAAATGACATGAATTTTTTTGTGGTGGAGACAACTTGCTTTTTCAGAATGCGCACTTTCTTATCCCTGCTTCATGCTACACCACTTCATAAAATTACTTCTTACAAATAGGACAAGAGCTAGAGCCAGTAGAAGGAAACCCATACAGATGCATTTGGAAAATCAGTTGCTGGCGACTTGCAGAAAAGGTAAGAAACTTACAAATCTACTTTTCACTTCTACTGTAATATTGCCAGTAGCAGCATAAGCATATTATCAGGATGTATTTTATAATTATGTGAATGTAAGAGCATTTTAGCATGCCTTCTGCAGTACTTGGAACATTCCAATCCCAGGATTTAAACATTCTATTAACCACCTTATTTTTCGGAGTATAAGACGCACTGGAGTATAAGGCGTAACAAGATTTTGAAGAGGTAAAATTTAAAAAAAGGTTTTTGCACTCTGTAGACCTCCCAAACCCTCTGCGCGCCTAATTTTTGGTGAAAAAACGGGGCATGCAGAGAGTTTGAGGGACCTGCAAAGTGCTGCTGGGGTGGGGGGGAATGGTCAATTTTTCGCTTATTTTTGCCCTCCCCAGCCCCCAGAAGCACTTTGCAGGCCTCCCAAACTCTGCACATCCATTTTTGTGAAGGGGCAGGGTTTCGGGAGGGCAAAAATGCTGTATTCATTGTATAAGATGCACCCAGATTTTCATCCTCTTTTTTTGGAGGGGGAGATGCATCTTATACTCTGAAAAATACAGTAAATGTTATATGCTCTCCTCCTATAGAATATCTTCTGCCAATCATTTTTCTCCAGTTGTATACAGCTCCCGGAACTCTGAAAAAAATACTGCAAAATTAAATATAATCTTAATAAGGAATTGTATGGTTTATTATGCATGCTGGTTTCCTAGGATGGAGAGCAGCAGGTGATGGCAGAGTACATAGGAGTATGTAACCTCTCTTGGAGATTGGTAGTTCTTTCCATTTTGGGGAAATGTGATGACTAGATGAAACTTTAATGCATTGCAATATTTCACTAATTAGCATCAGTCTGAGCATCAGCTCCAGAGGTGGTATTCAGAAGATTCTGACCAGTTCTGGAGAATTGGTAGTGGAAATTTTGAGTAGTTCGGAGAACTGGTAAATACCACCTCAGATTGGCCCTGCCCCCATCTATTCTCTGCGTCCTGAATCCCAGCTGATCGGGAGAGAATGGGGATTTTGCAGTAACCTTCCCCTGGAGTGGGGTGGGAATGGAGATTTTACAGTATCCTTCCCCTGTCACACCCACCAAGCCACGCCCATTAAGTCATGCCATTCCCACTAAGCCACGTCCACAGAACCGATAGGAAAACATTTTGAATCCCACCAGTGATCAGCTCCTTTCTCTTCAATATCAATACAATGTTAATTCACTACATTGGCATTGGCACAGTAATTGTTTAATCATCTAAGACAAGTGGATGGAATAGAACTTAGGCATATTGCCTTGAATTTCAGTCTTTACTTGGTCTTGCTTCACTTTTTCATGCAAGCCTCAATCTTAGGGGTTTCATATTTTGGCAGGACAAATGCATCCTCTTATGCTGTCTTACCTGCAGAAACAGCTTATGGTATTTTATTGTTTTGATTGCTTCAGATGTGTCTGAATGTCATGCTTTAGTAATAATATATATTACATTTCTTAAATATAATGACATCAAAAATATTTCTGAATTGAATATTTTTAGGAGCAGTTTGACAAGTATGAGAGAGCAATCTATGCAGCACTTAGTGGGAATCTCAAACAGGTATGACATGTTTTTTTTTTCAGTAACTGTTGGAAGTGTTGAACTCTTTGCTATCATTCTAAGGCATATAATGGAATTGCAAGCCAGAGATTCTACAAATAAAAAATAGCATAGTTGTAGCTTCTGAAGTCAACAAGTAGTCCTCAAGATGGAGCCTGCCCATTGCAGTTGCATGTCATGACAGTCATTAAGCAAAACCTCTTAATGACTTAATGACCCCAGTCCTTGCTCTGATGAAAAACGAACAGGACAGTCATTTAACAAAGCACAGAGTGCCTTGGGTGGGAGGGGAGAGGCCCCGAGAAGCTACACAGGCTCAGATTTGCCTGCTCTAGGCCTCCCAAGGCTGCTCACCCACCCACCCATAAACTGTACAGAAAAATGGAGTCTGCTTAAAAAAAATTTTTTGACAGTATTGTGAGAATAGAACCTGTTGCAAAATGGGAGTTTGCTTCTTTTGTAAGAAACTAATCCTGTATCGGGCTGGGTGCCTCTATCATCTGGGTGCCCTGGAACAGGCTTGAATTCTGCAAGTCCTTGGGTGGGATCTCCCCTTATTCACTGAAGGCTTGCAAATTCCAAATGCCCTGATCTTCCCTTCCTTGCTGGATGGGAAAGAGGCTGGTGGCTTGCAAGCTGAAGCTGATTTGTGCTCACTGCAGCCATCTGATCTCTATTGCATCACTGAGTGGCTGCAGAGAACCAGCCGAATGGGATGGGTGAGGGGAGGAGTCCTGGAGCATCCTTGCAGTCAGTTGTCAGAGCGAATGACTGTGGGTTACTGCAATCATCATAACCAGGCCGCAAGTAGCTTTTGAGGAATCTGTCATAACTTTGAATGGTCACTAAGCAACCTGTCATAACAGGGCTACCTGTATGAAATACTGTCTTTTGAGAAGAATCCTTATCTTTAAGAACAAGTTGATTTCTTTGAAATTAATTGTAACTATTATTAACTGTAGTTGCTAAGAATTCTTATCCAGGTGCTTCTTTCTAGTCATGCTTATATGCAAAGAAATGTTAAAATCAAAGTTTGCTGCAATTCATTATCATTGTGTATTTCAGTAATTCATAGCTAAAGTAGGGCTAGCTTGGGTTGTTTTAATATTATACTTTTTCCAAAACTTTAATTTGTTGGGGCTTTTGTTTTGCTTTCTTTGTGACTTTAAAGCTTCTTCCAGTATGTGATACCTGGGAAGATGCTGTTTGGGCATACTTCAGAGTCATGGTAGACACACTTGTTGAACAGGAAATTCGTTCATCTGTGATGAACACAGAGGAGAAGGAAGAACTCCCCAGAGAATATTTGGAAACAAAGTGAGTTATTTTTTGTTTGTTCAATAGCTGCTATGAAATTTTGAAGGCGATGCTAACTGCCATTTTTTCTTCATTATTTGAAGCTGGACATTAGAAAAAGTATTTGAAGAACTTCAAGCAACAGACAAAAAGGTAAATTTGAAGCTTTTTCAAAATTAAAGGAGTAAATTATAGCCTACTCTTATATCTATTTTCTCATAACCAAGTGCCATAGGGCTCTCAGGGGCAAGCTTCACAATAAAGTTGTAATAATGTATTCATTTACTTGGGGGGAAAGACTTATGGCACAGTTTACTGAACTATGAATAAACACATTGGATTGCCCTAGTCTTAATCTGAAATAGCACAATTTTATTAGTCAAAAAGATTACACTAATTTTAAAAAAATCTGATGCATTGACCACACCATGCTGTTTTATCTATTATCATTTATGCAATGGATGTGTTCACATATACTTTTAAACTATATCCTGATTACAAATAATTTTATATGATTGTATGTTATAACTTCATAAATACAGAAATTGTTTTTCAGAGAGTTTTGGAAGAGAATCAAGAGCATTATCATATGATTCAAAAGTTTGTTATCCTAGGAGATGTGGATGGTAAGTTTTGCACTAGGTCTTTTTTTCATTCCTCAGTTCTCTGTGGTTTAATAGTGCTATTATAGAGTAGTCTTACAAGAATTTAGTTAGTTATTCTCTTCAGAAAAGATGGGTAAGAAAGAAAAGTAGTTATTTCAATAGATGAGGGGGTGGGGAGTTGGATGCAGTTGATACATAAGAGGGGCACTTGTGACTGTGTTGCCTTTTGAAACTTAACAACAAAGATACGTAACTTGGTGCATCCAGCCATCCTGGGTGCCCATAAGATTTTTTTTTAATTAAAATTAGTTTGCATATTTTAAAGTGCCAATCACCAACATCTTTATTTAACTGCTTAATTAAGGCACAGAGAAAATGAAAATACAGAGGGCTTCAGCCTACTGGGGGCTTTTTTGGAAATTTTTCTGTTCTCCAAAGATAAACTTGTCTGAGAATACTGTGGGATATATCCCAGAGGAATAGAGGAGCTAGTGGGGAAAACTTAGCTTCTTCAGTTCTGTGATGCTAATTATTTTATATTTCTTGCTTTTATTTTTCAGGTCTTATGGGTGAATTTTACAAATGGCTTTCCAAAGGCAGAAATACGCTCCCTGGGCATCTGCTTCGATTCATGACTCATCTCATTTTATTTTTCCGTACTTTGGGGCTTCAAACCAAAGTAAATGAATTTATTTATTCAGCTTTAATAACTATACAAATTATCAAAATAATTAGAACTAGAGAATCACACCTAAGAAACAACTTTCTAAATGTTAAATGTGATCATGAAAAGTTACCATTCCTGTCCCAGTGATGTATCTTAAAATATGAGAACTGGTTGCAAAACGTACCTTCAAATCCATTAAAAAGGTAGCAAAAAGAGTGTTTTAATATTAATTACATGTTATTATAGTTAACCTTATACTTTAAAATAATTAGGCAATTTTATTAAAACATTTGTTTTCCCATATAGGAGGAAGTATCAATTGATGTTTTAAAGGCCTACATTCAGGTAAATTATTTTATTATTTGCACAAATGGAAATACTAATAAAGAGCAAATGTGTTACCTCTGTTTGTATAATTGCACATTTATGACCATTTTTACATATAGAGGATATCAAATTAGTTGAAAGAAGACATTATTAGATTTTAATGGCACAGGTATACTGATGCAATGCTATTCACTCTCCATTTCAAGTAAGTGTAAATACATATGCATATATGTGTGTGTGTGTGTCTGTATTGTGTTGTTGTACCATTATATTTTATATTGGATATAACAATATTTATATTGTCTCCCAAAACACCATTTGTTTTCTGTTCCAGTGGTTAATACGTGGGAAGCACACTGATCTCATAGCATTTTACATCAGCCACCTGCCTCAAGATGTAGCTGTTGCTCAGTATGCTGCATTCTTGGAAGATGTCATAGACACTGAACAACGGCACCACTGTCTGGAGCTTGCCAAGGAAGCAGGTTAGAAAAAAATGTGATGAAACGGACATATTCTTAGGGAACATTTAACTCTTTCTCTGGTTGGCAGCTATTTGTAAGTGGATCTGTATGATTATAATACTTCTAAACAGAGTATGCACAATTCAGCTAGTCGTAGCTTGAAATGTTAATAGTGGATATGATTTTTATAATATTCGTTATTTAATGTGCCATAATGCCTATTTGGTTAAAAGATCTACAGTGAAATTTTGCCTCCAAGAAATTACTAGGGTAGATGAAATAAAGATAATATTTCCACTTAAAGTTATTTTAGTTTCACCTCATAGTAAACTACTACTCAGTCAGTTTCAGTGTTTCTGTTTAATGCCATTTCTTATCCATACATATGTTATAAATACCTCTTGGTATATAATTCTTGTTCTTTTTTTTCAAAATAGGTTTGGACATTGCAACTATAACAAAAACAGTGGTTGAAAATATTTGCAAAAAAGATACTAGTGAGTTCTTCCACCATGATCTTGCAATTGAGACAGGCACAACAGAGGTGAGTGGTGGTACTTCATGTGCTCTAATACTAACCAGCATATTCTGCCTACTTTTATCAGCTGCAGAAGCTGTCACACTTTGTTTTACTTTTCTTCCAACAGCTTCTGGTCAATAAAAATAATTGCAAAAGTTGCAATTGCTATAATAATTCATTGGAATTCTTTGCATGTCTGTGTTCCAATCCATTGGCAAGTACTGCTTTTAAATGCTTTGAATGGCTCAAAACAGCAATCCTGAATCTACAGCTTTACACTGTTCTTGAAAACTCAAAAAATGCTGAAAACTCAAATATATAATTTAACATAAATTGTAGTTAATTCTAAATATGCCAGATACTTATGATTCTCCAATAATGCACAATTAAAATCTCTAGACTGTAACCAGTGTCTTAGCAAATCCCTTTTCTAGCCTTAAAAGCTAATTTGGTACATTTGATTACTGTAGATATTAACACAGGATTTTTCCCCCCAGGATGATCGCTTGAAGATTGATGTGATTGACTGGCTAATATTTGATCCTGCTCAGAGAGCTGAAGCACTTAAGCAAAGCAATGCTATAATGAGGAAATTCTTGGGTACTGCAATATTCATGATTTTGAAATAAATAAATAAATAAAGCATAGTGAATCTGAAAGCAACTTATGTTCTTAAATAATATTTTACAGCATCTAAGAAGCATGAAGCAGCCACAGAAGTATTTATAAAGATTCCACAAGACTCTATAGCTGAAATATACAATCAATGGGAAGAACAAGGAATGGAGAGTCCACTTCCAGCTGAAGATGACAATGCTATTAGAGAGCATTTATGTATTAGAGCATACCTGGTAAGAATGTGACAAACTTTCAAAGAGGACACCCTGTCTCCTAATTCCAAAAACATGTCAGTGTTCTAATATTAGGTGTGAAAAATATACACTGTTTAAACATAGTTTATTTTAACAAACAAGCTACCAGAGGTCAGAGACAGTAGTAAAACCTTTTTCTGAGATTGAATCAGATTAAGCCAAATTGAAACATTTCAGTTCTTTTTTAAAAAAATAAGTTGAACTGAGTTAGATAGGCTTAGCTCTGTATTCTTATCAACTAATGAAGAGGGAACAAAGGATCTCTGAATTAGCTAGATCAGTGTTGGTGACCCTTTTCGGCACCGAATGCAGAAAAGGGAGCATGTGCATACTCATATATGCCAAAAACCAGAAGAGCAGCATGCCAGTCACATCTTCCAGTTTCTGGTGCTCATGCGCACGTGAAGACCATCATACATGTGCTGGAAACTGGAAGAATTTCAATGAAGTGTCCCCCTAGCCCGCCACCGAGAACAAGCCAGCACATCCCCACCACCACTTCCCCACCATCACCAAATGAGCGTGACTGCTTCCCGACTGGTGTCCCTTTACCCTGCCCCAGATAATGTTCCTCCCGTGCGAACTCAGTTCCTGCACTGCCCCGCCGCCCCAGAAGAGCAGTGGTGGCAGCTGCAGGGTGAGGAACAGGAGCGACCAGCTGGGCCCCACAGCCGCTCCCCCATCGGCAAGCTGGACCCATGCGTGCGGAGCTACGCTCTCCTCCAGCCCCCCCGGAGCAGCTGGCCCTGACGGCTCCTCCAGCATCCTGGCCAGAAGCAGCAGCACAAGAACTGCTGCCACCCTCTCGACCCCAGCGGTGGCAGGTGGTAGGAGCAGTGGGTGGGGTGAGGGGGCGGTGGCTATTCTTGCGCTGCTGCTTCTGGCCAGGATGCTGGAGGAGGAGGAGCCGTTGGGGAGGCAAGCTGCTCCAGGAGACCCGGAAGAGTGCGCAGCTCTTTACGCATGGAAACAACACTGGGGGCCTGGCTCGGTGGCGGCGAAGGAGCTGCAGGGGCCAGCTGGTTGCTCCTGCCCCTTGCCCTGCTGCTGCTCTTCTGGGCTGCCAGAACCAGCCAGGCACTCTGGACCACGGATGTGCATTGGTGCCGCAGGCTGGAGTACTGGGGCCGTGCAAGAAGCTCGCTCAGGCGGGGAGGGAGGGAAGCCCCAGCCCACCCGTCCTGGCTGACAGCTCTGCTCCCCTAGGAAGCGACCACACCATGCGTGTGCCAGAAACCAGAAAATCATCTTCCCGGCGCGCACCGGGCAGCTGCTCTTCCGGTTTCCAGTGCTCCCACGCATGTGAAGACCACCTGGCCAGCGTGCTGGACCTGGAAGAGCAACAGGTGACAGCTCTGCATGCTATTGGTTCACCATCACAAAGCTTGTTCAAAATATTTGTTTAAATATATTCAAGGACAGAGATGGGAGAATTCATAAATGCATAACCTACACATTTCTAGATTTATGCATTTGATAATAACTATATACTTCCAACTCAATATAGGAAGCCCATGAAGCTTTTAATGAGTGGTTTAAACACATGAATTCAGTTCCACAGAAGCCAAGCCAGCTTCCACAAGCAAGTTTCACAGAAAAAGTTGCCCATGAACTTAAAGAGAAGAAATATGAGGTAAATATATATGAAAAAATGACTTGTTCATAATATATTGAAATATAAATCGTATTCATAAAAACCTTATCCATATGGATAAAGTGTGAATGACTTTATCTATCTATCTATCCCTCTATCTATCCATCTATCTATCTATCTATCTATCTATCTATCTATCTATCTATCTATCTATCTATCTATCTTATATATAGAGAGAGAGAGAGTATGTTAGGATTTTGACTTTTTTGGGGGTGCTGTGATGTCTCTTTTTTTTCTTATCTTTTTTCAGGTAGATTATGGCATCTGGAAAGGTCTTTTAGATGCTCTTACAGCTGATGTAAAAGAAAAAATGTATAATGTCTTATTGTTTATCGATGGAGGATGGATGGTTGATGTCAGAGAGGTTGGTTGATATCAAATACATATTTAAAGCTAGTCCTACATAAAAATATAATAAAAGATAATGGAATAGCTGCATTTTTACCACTAGAATGCTGCTATGTAGTGTTCAGAGCTTACTTCTTCTAATTCTAAGTAATCATAATTACATAGTTACACAAACTAACCATGTAAATAGTGCCTGCCTACACTTGAACAGAAATGAAATTGCAAGATCACATATACTCTGATTTGAAATTATCTTCTACTATCTTACACTGTAGTGAAGGGCCAAATTTAATAGTCTTGTAGCCAGGTTAGTTTTTTGGGTTAGAATTAGAAGAATTGCACAACTTAACATTTACTCACTTTTTCTTTATTTGAGAGTGGTGGGTTTTCAAAGCTTGGAGTAGAGAGAGTTAAGATTGTATATAGGGCTTTGGCTTAGTACATGTCTATACTTTTTAATTAAGGATGCTGAAGATGATCCTGAGCGTTGTCATCAGATGATCATGCTACGAAAACTCTGCTTGCCAGTGTTGTGCTTCCTCCTTCATACAGTCTTGTACAGCACTGGACAGTATCAGGAAGACTTAAGACTTGCTGACTTGATTGCTTCCGATAGGCACAAACTCTATATGGTAATATACTCTTTGGACTGTTTTTTAATGCTCTGCTTGTCTCTAAAGTGCTCTAGTTTACATTTCTTTAATTTCACTGTCTCTGGTACTGCATAGAAAATTCCAAAGTCAAACTATTAAAAAAGTATGAATAAGCTAATTTTCCCATTTTTAATACAATGTAAAAATATAATTAAATGCTTGAATACTTAGGATATTGGTAGGCTAACCACAAAAATGAATTTACCGTATTTTTCGGAGTATAAGACGCACCCTTTTCCCTCAAAAAAGAGGCTAAAAATCTGGGTGCGTCTTATAAACTGAATACAGCATTTTTTGCCTCCTGAAACCCCGCCCCTTCATCAAAATAGCCGTGCATAGCTTGTAGGAGGCTTTTAGAGAGCTCCTGGGGGCTGGGGAGGGCAGAAATGAGCCAAAAACCCGCAGCCCTCACAAGCACTCTATAAGCTTCCTAATGTCCTTTTTGTTTGACACCAAATGGCCTGTTTTTGCAAAAAAGGGCCATTTTTGCTTGTTCTCCCCCCCCCCCCAGAACACTCTACAAGCCTCCTAAGGGCTATTCATGCCCTTTTTGGGGGGTGGGGAAATGGGCCCATTTTCACAAAAACGTTTTTGGGAGGTTTGCAAAGTGCAAAAACCTTTTTTTTAAATTTGCCTCTTCAAAACGTGGTGCGTCTTATACTCCGGTGCATCTTATACTCTGAAAAATGCAGTAATTACCATGCTGGTTGTTACAGAATTCAGAGAATTAAGAAGCGGAATGAATACTTTATCAACATGATTTTCTCTTTGGTCACCAGCTTTCCAGGCAAAGAAGATTAGATATTTTATCTCAGATTGTGATTTTGTTTTCATTTTTATTTCCTATCCTGCAGATATTTTCCAAAGAGGAACTCCAGAAGCTCTTACAGAAGTTGAGAGAGTCTTCCCTCATGCTTTTGGATCAAGGTCTTGATCCCCTTGGATATGAAATTCAGTCTTAATTACATTGTTCTAGGTAATTCAAATAAAATTAGTGATACAAATGAATATAAGGTTTGGATCCCAGATTCTTGGCCTCCATGAAATAGAGAATATTTGGATTCAACCTCCATTGTTTTATATGGAAATATTTAAATATTTTATTGGCATTGGCGCACAGCAGTTTGGATTTTTTTTATATGTAAAATAAAGAATTGCATGGATAATACTTTGTATTTTTCTCAATAAAATTGTAAACAATTTAATTTGTAATAAGGTTTATATTGCTTAAATGTAGGAAGTAGTTTGCATCAGTAAACCTGCCAGATTGTAAAGTGGCCAATAGGTGTAACAAGGAAGTATTATAGGTAATCCTCAACTTAGAACTTGTTGTTTAATGACCAAGGTTAACAACAGCATCAAAAAAGTACTGTACGGCCTATAAAATATTTCTGGTCTTTCTAAAACATCATACCAGAGAGGGCCCTCTGCAGTCATATGACCACATTTTGGGCATTCGGCAAACATTTATGACTAATTGCCTGCAGCCCCACAAAGGATATCCTTTTGGCTGCAGGAGCAGAGTTGAATCCTGAAGATTTCCAACAGTCCCCTAAAGGATTTTCCCTCTGTGTGTGGTTGGTAGGGGAATCCCTTCAGCAGCCTTTTTCTGGAATGGAGCTGAATCTTCAACAGGCAGCTTTTTCACCCTATCTGCTTAACAACTCAGGGAACTGCTTAACAAGTACATAGCAAGTTTGCAGTCATTGACAAAGCAAGTTTGGTCGCTACAATACAAAAAGGACACTGAGGAATTGGAAAGAGTACAGACAAGAGCAACAAATGGCTTGAAGGCTAAATCCTATGAAGAACAATTAAAAGAACTGAATATATTTAGCTTAAAGAATAGTAGACCAAGGGGAGACATGATAGCCATCTTCCAATATTTTATGTGTTGTCTCAGGGAAGAACGCGTGCATTTGTTCTCCATCTGCCCAAGAATACGATAAGAACTGATATCCTTGATACCTTTCTTGCTATTCTTTGATCGATACACCCAACTGGCTGGTGACAAGGTCCGATGGGTGAGTGGCAATTGGCTAGTTTGGAACCAAGGCCAAAATCTGAAATCCCTTAACAAAGGATTGAGTAACAAAGGTCAGAGGAGCCACTCAGATGCCTGCTGGAGATGTAGGGCTTCCCAAAGTGCATCTACTGATAGTGGGTGAACCTCCTTCCTCCCTGGAGGGAGGTGGCTCTTGGGAATAGACTGCAGTATAGAGCACTGGTGCACTTTCCTCCCTGATCTGAGGCTCCCTTTGTTTCCCCTTCTCTCTCTCCAGCAAGTGACTCCTCCATGCATCAGAGGAGGCTTCATAAGAGCTCTGCTGAGGATTATGAGGGAAGGGAAACCAGCTTATATATGTAGTCTTGGAGTTACAACCACAATTGAGGCCAACATTTCTGTTGCTAAGCAAGATATTGATTTTGCTTGTCAGAAGGTCACAAAAAGTGATCACATGAACCGGGACACTGCATCTTTCATAAATGAGTCAATTATCAAACATCTGAATTTTGATCATGTGATCACAGGGATGCTGTAACAGTCGTATGTGAAAAACGGTCATAAATCACTTTTTTCAGTGCGCTGTAACTTCAAAAGGTCTCTACATGAACTTTGTAAGTTAAGGACTGCCTGTATAGAAAGAATGTCCCCCTAGCAGCTTTCCAGAAATCAGTTGGGAAGAAAGCAGGAGGTAGGAACTCTTCTGAAGTCAGGACAGCACCCTATGCCTCAGCAATTTAATTTAGCAAAGTTTTGGCTGGGTCCCATTACTCCCTTGGGATTGAAATTTGACAAACTCATTCATTCTCTGCCAACTTCCCAAAGGAAAGTCACTGGGGAAGTCTGAAGTCACTCCTGCTTTTTTACTTGCCTGTTGTGGCCCAGCAGGAGCCATTGGAGCTGCGACCAGACTCCGACAGCGAGGGGTCCTATGAATCGGCTCTGGAGGATGTGGAGGACCCTGGACAAGGTTCCGACTCCAAGCAGGGCGCAGAGAGGCTGGTTGGCCACCACAAGGTGCCTGAGCCTTGGACCAGTGGGGAGGAGACAAGGGAGAGTGATTTGGATGCCAGTAGTGTGTTCCTGGATGCCGGGCACTGAAGAGCTAATAGGCGTCAGGAACAGTTGCGCAAGTACAGGAGGTAGTTGCACTCAGCTGGTGGTCATTAGGCTCATCTCCAAACTATAAACGGACGGCTTGTGCACTGGCCTCTCTTGCAGAAGTCAACGCATTGACTAAAAGTTGGAGAATTTTTGTAACTAGCTTGGTAGGCTGGATTGCTGCCAAGGCTTGTCTGAGTTGCTCCCAAGGTCCTTTTGTATCGGCAGTCGTTACTGGACGGAGGAGGGGGTCAGAACACTTCCCCCGGTCATTCTTTTTCCCCAGATGAGGAATGCTTCTGAAAGGATCACCCAACGGGGATTGTTTTATGTATTCATAAAGTCACCAGGAACTGAACCCATCTTGTCTTAGTGTCAGTGGGGATGATTCTTTCTGGATATGTTCGCACCATTCGCTCAGTCATAAAACATGTGTTGATCCAGCCCAAACGGAGATGGAAAGGCGACGACGGCTTCGATGACTGAGAGACACCCGCATGCCTCAACGGCCGGTTCCAGTCTTTTGGGTCGACCTGCGTCGCTGCCTTTACAGAGCTAGTGGCTCTCTCCTGCCTCCTACAGGCGGACTTCTCTCGCCCGGCGCCGGCTTGGACCGAACTTCTCAGCATTCCCAAAACACTCGAAAAAGCCGAAGCAGCCAACCGGAGTCGAGACTGCCGCCGTTTGTCGGCAGCCACCGTGACATTAACCCGCGCAACAATAGCCGGACCCTAAGCGGCGCCCATCCGGAGCCCAGGGAAGGAAGGCGGCCCGGAAAGGCCAGGAGATCCTTCCTGCCGGCCAAGGACCGAAGTCCCGCACAGCGGAAGTTCCTGTGCCTGAGCCACGTGGGCGTGCAAGGGAGAGGCCGTGGCGGCTGTTGTGCCAGCTGTTTGCCCGGGAGCGCTGGCTGCTTCTGCTGCTCCCCAGGAAGCGGACGTGGAGCTCGGAAGAAACTCGGGCATGGAGGGCGGGTGGCTTTCAGAGCGCGGCCGGTTGGCGGCCGGGCTGCTGGTAAACTTGGCGGCATCTATTTGCATCGTCTTCCTGAACAAGTGGCTGTACGTGCGAATGGGCTTCCCCAACCTCAGCCTCACGCTGGTGCACTTCGCCGTCACCTGGCTGGGACTGTACGTGTGCCAGTCGCTGGGCGCCTTCGCCCCCAAAAGCCTCAGGCCGCGCCAGATCCTCTCTCTGGCGCTCAGCTTCTGCGGCTTCGTGGTCTTCACCAACCTCTCCCTGCAGAACAATACGGTCGGCACTTACCAGCTGGCCAAGGCCATGACCACGCCGGTCATCGTGCTCATCCAGAGCGTGGCCTATGGCAAAACCTTCGCCACCCGCATCAAGCTCACTTTGGTGAGTAGTAGCAGGGCAGGGCATGAAGCCCAAGGAAGAGGGCTGCCCTCCTCGCTTGCGTCTTCTGGGGGATCCCGAAGTAATGAGTGGCAATCTGAGAGCCAGGAGAAATGGAGCAGGGAGTGAAATATTGTCAGAAATAGCTGTAGACAGAATGGCCTTTTGGGTTGATTATGAAGGCTGGTTAAAAATAATTGATTTAGACAATTGCTTTCCTAGATTTGATTTCAGCCAGCGAGGAACTCTGGGAGTTGAAGTCCACAGGTCTTAAAGTTACCAAGGTTGGAGACCACTGGATTAGTGTGCTTATAATTTCTAGATAGTATGGATGTGCTGAGTAGGCTTTATGAATGTATATATATGTAGTATATATATGTGTATGTGTATATATATGTATGTGTGTATGTATGTATGTATATATATATGTGTGTGTGTGTGTGTATGTATGTATATATATGTGTGTGTGTATGTATATACATACATACATACATACATACATACATACATACATACAT